AAAAACCTGCTCACCGCTGGAGCGGAATCCTCTAGAGTCTAGAATGGCACATGAGGCCAGTCAGTGTTTGGGTTTTTCAACCGTTATTGTCAGTGTTTGGGGTTGCAATTTGCAAACCATTTTCAGAGTCTGAAATAGCAGCAGCCCTTGCCAAGGGTAAGCAGCCACACCCCGACAGACCAGACAAGACCAGTTCGTGTGTGGACTGTGCAAATCTTAAATCTTTTAAATAGAAAGCATATCCGTATATTATGTAAATCACAATTAATCATCATCATTAACTTCATTGAGTTTATGTTACGTTTTTGCCGTCAAAATGAACTCAAGTTCGATGGCTAAATACATGGCAATCAAATCATAAGATGAGATCATGAAAAGCAGACTACAAGTAGAGAGTAGAATTAACACCATAGGATTCAAAAGCATTCCAAGTTTCTTGTTTGAAATAATCGAGAACATAAGACAGCTATCAACACTACCTGTCAAATCTTCAGTGCTTTGCAGGCGGCACTAAACGACGGCAGTAACTACAGTCGCTGAAGTTTTGACTGTTAAGAGTTACTGCCGTCAGTGCTTTGCAGGCGCACGCTCGCGAGAGATCGAACACTTTGCCAAAACAAACAAAAGTGGCACATAACAGGGAGTAGCGACCGACTGTTTATTAAACACACAGGACACTGCCAAGAAAGTGCTAAACACGATATATAGAGTCCGACGCCTATATATCGTGGTTATTAACCATGAGAAGTGACAAAAGAAGTGAATGCTGACAAAAGAAGTGAATGCTGGACGGTGAAAAGGAGTGAATGCTGACAAAAGAAGGGAAAAAAGAAAAGGAGAAGTGACATATAAGCTTTCGAATGGAAGACTCAGTAAACGGCGGCAGTAACTCTTAACAGTCAAAACTTCAGGGCAGTTATAAAAATCTGCCTACATGCTGGAACACGCATACCCTTTTTTTTTTTTTTTCATTGCTTCGCTCCCTTGTTTTTTAGTCTATTCTAATTTATTTATTAGACACCCAAGAAACGTAATCATTGAAAGAGACGGCTTTCGACTACAATAGGGGCGTAAAGGCATGATTGGTACCACAGAGCAGAGTTTGTCTCATGGCTTCGCTCTTACGATAGTCATAGAAAGGCATGATTATGTTTCTTGGACGCAGCAACTGCTACATTAACCATAGTAAACTTCCCTCCCGAGATGAGCGACGGGTACCCAAACCCACACCCACCCCACCCATGAGGCATTGGGTCAGGTGTGGGTCTTGATAAGTTGGCATGGGTAGGATGAGGGTGGGTCAAGGCGAGCAAGCCTGGGTGGGTAATGGGCGGGTCAATGTTAGGCCAGGGTCACCCGAATGGGTGGGTGACAAGCGGGTGAACGCTAGGCCTGGGTCACCCGACCCACAGACCCAGGACAACCCATAAGAACCCTTCCCCCGACCCCCCACCCCCCACCCCCCTTTATACATTTTTCCCAGCTGCGGTCCATCTGTGGACTTCAAATGTCGGTCCATCTGTCGACTTCAAAGGTTGGAGGCCCAAGAAACGTAAAGTCTCCACCCTGGGGCCCCTGGGAAAAAAAGTTATCGTCCTTGAAAAAAAGAGTCGCGCTAGTGGCAACTAAAAATTTAGGGTGGCAGCTGGACCACGGCCCAGACAACGGGATGTTCGCTCCCATGGATCGGACCTAACCACAGCAAGTGGCAAGCCTTAGGTTCACTACCCAATTACAAACTTGTGGAGCGATTCGAATTTCTGCAGGCAGAGATGCTTCAAAGTTTCGCGTCGTCGTCCAAGGATGTCATGTTGCTATGGTGCGTGCAAATGTTCAAAGGGACCGAGACAACGGGGAATGGGCAGGTGCGAGTGGAAAATAATTAGGTACCGGGTGCTGGCGGGTAATTTTGTTCTCGCGGGTGTGGGTGGGTCAGGGTGAAGGTTTTTTACGGGTGACGGGAGGGTTGGGTGTGGACGGAAATTTTCAAAAAAACACTCGGGTGGGTTCGGTCACCTTGAGATTTTTTTGTTTTTGTTTTTTCTGAGGGCGGGCGGTGCTTAAAAAATTATGGGCGGGTTGGGTGAAGTGCCAATTCCAAAAAAAAATGCTCATCTCTGCTTCCATCCCTCCTCGTTTGATAAAGGTGGGAATCTGATTTACGGCTGCGTCCAATTCTTGCAGTCGCAGTTGTTGCTATCGAATGACACGGCGTAGACAGACGTCACAGCCCACATGGCTCCTATATGCTAGAAACACAAAGGCACGACGACCGCAATTGTAGAGGCATTGATTGCCGTTCCAGCCGCTGTCTACAGATTGGACACGACATGTCAGGGAGCCGTAGACGAGTGCAATGCTGACTGTCATCAAACGTGTGCTCATAGAAACTCGCATGGAGGAAGAGATGGCTATGGAGGAGCAAGGGAGCAGGAAGAAGACAGAGAACAATGAGGATGAAGAAGGGGGCTTACATTGGCTATGGTGGTCTGCATCTTCATCTTCTTGGTTGGCCCCGTACCTGGAAGGCGCCTGCCGACTTCAGCCGAACAAAACACCCGTTCATTATCCCTCCATCTGGTCTGAAAGTGCCCCAAAAAATACAGATATAACGACCGCGCTTTCTATTCAGATAACGGCGGTAGGGGGGTCATACCTTGAAGGAAGACTCTGGCGGTGGAAATGTGGCAAGGCGGCCATACAGCGGAATCGGTGCACATCGGAGCACAGCTCCGATGTTCCACCATGCCTCTTCCACTGCATGGCCACCATGCTACATTTCCACCACCAGAGGTGTAGGATGTGGGGACAATGCCATAGAGTGGAAGAGGCATGGTCCGCCATATCCACCGGTTTGCCCAAGTAGAAGGAGGTAATCCCCTGTTCTCAGGGCAATCAATGCTGGCAGAATGATGAGGAAATCTACAGAAGGAAATCAATGGCTTTGTTAAGGGACGCCGAACTCGTTTTCCAGCAGGTGTTGCTCCCCACTAATAGATGGAGCCTCCCCGGGGGAGATAGAGGGAAAAAAAAAAAAAAAAGAAGCGAGGTGTAGGATGGCTATGGAGGACTCGGATATTGATTCCGATTCATTCATTCATTCATTCATTGTTGTTGTTGTCATCATTATTATGCCAAGTAAAGAAGTTGGGAGAGATGTTAGGTCAGCTAAGCTTATACAAAATCAGCGAAGCTTATACAAAATCAGCAGAAGCATAAACACGACCGGGTTCGTTCGATGTTATTCAAAAAATTTCAAGCTTCATCGATTGAATTTTACTGAAATTTATTGAACTTCATTCTTGATTCCATGTCAACCAATCACTCTGGCTGGACATCCATTAAAATTGGAATGATACAGAGGAGGAAGATTAGCATGGCCCCTATACACACATAAATCGAAAAAAGGTCCAAATTATTTAAAATAAAAAATAAAAAATCTGGCTGGCCGACAACAGTGTGTGTAAAAAAGTATATCCAGTCTTGAGCAGATTCGATGATGGTATACGGAATGTTTGTGAAAAAGGGATTAACACAATTTTCATGCAATTTAACAACACCAGTTAGTGTTATGAGTTTGGAATTCGTATCTGCGTATCTGCTGGCATTGCATGATTACAAGTGAGATCGAAAAAGAAGAAAAAAAGAAAAAAAAAAGAAGTACTGCGATGACAGCGACCCACACCTGCGAAACTCCAACGTCACAAAGCTCCCCTCCCGTCTCCTGGTGCCATCTCCTTGCTGAAAGGTCGACAACAAACGGATTCTAAATCACTGAAGAAGGTGCGGAGAAAGAAGACGTGTGCCCGAGCCAGCTCTGGCTAGACCCATTAGAGCCAGAATGCTTGACGCCGACATTGCAAAATGCTTTGATCGAATCAACACTTAATAGTAGTGATTCCTCCTCCTCCTCCTCCTCCTTGTCATCATCATCATCATCATCATCATCATCATCATCAKCAGCAGCAGCAGCAGCAGCAGCAGCAGCAGCATCATGTTATTCAAGGGGAAAAAAAAAAAAAAAAAAGTTTCAGTTTGGAAACAAAACCTGTTATGCCACTGTGCAAGGGGGAACGCAGAGAGAGAAAGCGACTCACATCCAGAGTTTACATGTATTGCAACTCGCATCACTCCAAACAAAGGAAGCAAACGGTGAAAAAAAAGGAAAGAAAGGAAGAAAGGAAGAAAGAAAGGAAGGAAAGGAAAGGAAAGGGGGGGAAAAAGAAAAAAAGAAAAAGATAAGCTATCATTACACATCTTGGACGACTTCCCATTGCTGTATCGAAGTACGGACTGCAAGACAAAAGAACTATTAACTACTTAAAAGTTAAAACAGTCAAAGTACTCAAAATAGTAAAATACAAAATACTCAAAAATAGTAGAACTCTTCGTAAAAAAAAAAAACTAAAAAAATGCTCAAAAACACTCAAAAATACAAAAAGACGACAAAAGACCTGTCTCTTATACACATCTAGATGTGTATAAGAGACAGCCGCTTACGTGCCTCTACCCTACAATCTCCTCCACCGTGGGCCTCGCTCCAATACTCACCGTTTGCACAACATACAAAAACTATAGCGGTGTACG